TTTATGAGCCCAAATCCTAGACTTTAGGAAAGCAGCTCTTTAAAGTGAAGTAGATACAATTCCATGCCTTGAGATTGTCTAAATAGAGATGAATTAAGAGACAGTAAGGATCATTACCTATTGAAACAAGTGTGCCTGTACTGGGTGCTATCAATTCACGTTAGACTTCTAAAGAACGTGTTAGACTTCTAAAGGACACCAAAATAAAGAGATGAAAAACAAGCATAAATAAATATAAGAGTATATGACAAAAATAACGCCAAAAAGATCCATACCCCAAATGAGCCTGAGGCTTGGGGAAAAAAAGCTTCTAAAGAAAACAGAAAAGTTGTTTTGTAAAATACGTTTAGAGCATGAAGAGCAAGACTAGGAGTGATGTGCAACTCATGCAATTGTTACCGGATGACGAAGATCAGGGAGTTCTTCTCAGCTCCCAGTTTTCTTTGTGAAAAAGAATGATCATAGATGCAAAAGGGTAAAATAAATATCAATAACCATAAATTGAAGCTCAGCTAGGCAAAATGTTCATAAGAAGGTATTTGACTGTTTTAAATGAATTGAAATTCTGGCCCAGAGTGGTGAGAGGTCATGTAGATTGGAATGCCAAGTCACAGTTGCTAAAGTTTCAGGGACTGTGATGTGGGTGAAATGTGGCAGAAGACTGTTGACAACAAACATTGGCTTTGGTTTTCAAAAGGGATAGGAAGCATATAGGCTCCTTAGACTAGACCAAGTAACATGTTTACTGGGTGTAAAATTCCAGAACAGGAAATTAAAAGGATGATTGGTGAGCACTTAGGGAAAAAAGTAGAAACCATGAGAAGGCAGTATAAATTCTGTTAGAACAAGTCCTGTTAGACAAATCTTGCTGCATTTCTATTTTTGACATGGTTATTAGATTGGCTGATCAGTAAGAATGCAGGCATGCTGTATCTGAATACCAGCAAGGCATTTGACAAGGTCTCTCATCATATGCCTGTGAACAAGATGGAGAAATGTGGGTTGTATGCTAGTAAAAGAATTCTGCCTGATGGATAAATGTCAACCTGCAGGGAGGTTTCCAGTGGCATGCCACAGAGCTCTGAGCTTGATCTGATCCTTTGTGACATTTTTATTAATGACTTTCATAAAAATGAAAAAAGTATACCTAACAAACCTGTAAATGACACAATTATGAGAGCAAAAGCAAATAGTTTGTATGGCAAAATTAGAATTCAGCTCCATCGCCACATGCTAACAAGATGAAATCAAATTAGGCCAAACCAAGGCTCTAAGCTTATTTCCACCAGCACCCCCATCCCAAACACACAACTAAAAAAATATTCAACTATGTCAGTATAGAATAAATGAAATATGATTTAGCCTCAGAACTTGTTAAAAAGGCTTAGGGGTTTAGTTACCAGTGTTCTCAATATGTATTGGTAGTGTCACATGGCCATCAAAAAAGCTGATAGTGGAGTAGACAGCATTAACAGAAATATATGGTTAGGACAAGGGAGGTGAATGATTGTTGGTCATAGCACACAATCTTGAATGAGTCAGTCAAGGTGACTGGCTGCTCAGAGTCCCATCTGAGGGGCATTGGATCTGCTCCCAGCTTTTGCTCAAGGGGCAGCCACAGGTGACCATGTTGTTGTTTTTTTTTTTAACCACATGGCTTTTCTCTTCCCCCGGACAGGGCTTGCCAAGAAACTTAAACACAGCCTGGTACAAAAGGGATGAACTGGGCTAATCAAATTCCCTCTCCTTCATCTTTGAACCTAGAGCTGGCAAGAGAATGAGGCAGTTTGCAATAGGACATGAAGCTGAAGGGAAGAGGTAAGAGGTGTCAGGAGGTACACTTGGAGTCGGCAGTGCAGTGGACACCAGATTTACTATGAAAAAGTAGAAACTATGTGGCAGACAAAACAACCATTGAGCTGATGGAAAGAATAAGCTATTGGACAATGAAAGAGACAGAGAGGAGCAAAAATGCAGATGATTGTTGAGTCTTATTAATGCCAGAGATCTACAGGCTTTGCCTTTCCTTTGGGGGCTAACCAGTGTTTCCTGGGTTCCCAGGGACTGATAACACACACACTGAAAAGATGTTCTTAATTACTTGAGGTGACCTGAATGACCTGTGCTCTTGCAACTGGGGATCCTAACAAGAACCCACACCTGCATTTGGCCTTGGACTCTATATTTTAAGAGCAGTTTGGACAAATTGGAGTGTGTTCTAAAAAAAGAGACTGAGAAGGGAGATGTGAAACCAAGTCTGAGGAACAGGTGAAGAAACTGGGGAAACAGCCTAAAAAAATGAAAAATCGGGAACAATGGAGGGCTGTCAGGTGTGAGAGGGATTTTATTTATTATGTGGGACCCTATAATTAGATCTGGTAAAAAAGGGCAGAGTTAAGAAGTGGTAGATTTTGGTTCAAAAAGAACATTCCTGTATTTGTTTGAGATGGAATGGAATACCTTAGGAATGAGTCAATTCCTTATTTTGCAGTATTTAAGCAGAGGCAGTGACCACTTAGTAGGGATAGTAATATGACCTTTGGTTGTACAGTGCTTTACAGTGTATGAGGCACTTTCTACTACTCTAGCTTGGCCTTCCTAACAACCTGAGAGGCAGGTATTTTTATATTCATTTTTACAGAAGAGGCGGCTGAGGCACAGAGCAGTTCTGTTACATAGCTTATGCATAAGTCCCTGGGCACCCACAGTTACCTTTTATTGACTACATGTGAAATGAATATTTTAAAGGATATATTTGGAAAATTCTAGTGATAAGGCTGATTGGGTTTCTAGTGTTTTTTTTTTTTTATAATTTATCTTTGTAATGCTGAATATATTTTCAAATGTACTAAAAAGGTACTCTGTTCACTCTTACACAAAAACTTATGTTCTTCACTGCGTTTTATGAAACTGAGACCAATTAATACATTCCTTGCATAGATACAGAAGGTCCGTGGGTGCAGTTTGTACAAACATGCCTAGATGTACATTTCAAATAAGAATAGTTTTCTCTCTCCATTTGCCTGAGCCCATTCCCCACCCTCCTTCCAGATTTCCTGTTATTTGGCTTCTTGGAGGAAAGGAGTGTGTTTGCTTGTCAGAATTGCTAGTTAACCATATTGCCCTGCTGTTTCCTCAGCTCTCTATCACTAAGCCCTGAAAACGAATTAAAAGAAGAATGAGGAAATCACCACTGTTTGAAAACTCCTTGAAGAAGGTATACACTGTTCTCTGCAGTTCTTACTTTACTTGCCTTTCCCACTTCAATTAAAAAAAAAAGATACACATCCTTTGTCGCTAGTGCAGTTCTAATTGTGTTATCTTCACCATAGGTGTTGATTGCTATATTTTCTTTTGGGGGATAGCAGAAATAGCAGTTTATGAAACTATTTAATCTGGTAAGTGACAGATGATACAGACCTTCCTGGACTTGGGCCATAGCACTTTGGGTTTGTTGGTGGTGACATATTCTCCAATGCCATGGCTGGCATTTAATTTAATATGCTGCTAAGGAAAAAAATAACTAGTCTTACAATGTGTTTATTAGTCCTTCCCTTTCTATTCTTTTTTTTTTTTTTTTCCTTTTTGTCTTTTTTCGTGTCCGGCAATGGATCGCAACCCTCAGTGTTGCGCCCGTACCGGACCAGGACCGGCTACGGGATTGCAACCCTCGGTGCTGCGCCCGCACCTCGCTCAGCCAGTGAGCGGGAACCGGTCTGTATGTGGGATCCGAACCCTCGGCGGGAGCACCGCCGCGCTCCCAAGCAGGGCACTTTAGCAGGGCGCCACCGGGCTGGCCCTTCCCTTTCTATTCTTTTTTTTTTTTTTTTTCCTTTTTGTCTTTTTGCGTGTCCGGCACTGGATCGCAGCCCTCAGTGTTGCGCCCGTACCGGACCAGGACCGGCTACGGGATTGCAACCCTCGGTGCTGCGCCCGCACCTCGCTCAGCCAGTGAGCGGGAACCGGTCTGTATGTGGGATCCGAACCCTCGGCGGGAGCACCGCCGCGCTCCCAAGCAGTGCACTTTAGCAGTGCGCCACCGGGCTGGCCCTTCCCTTTCTATTCTGATTCCCAAATATCAGGGTAGAAGTTGATACCAGACATTGTTTATCAAGTTGTGTATATGCCCATTCTTTACATACAAATGTCTTTAGAAAAAGGTCTGGTGGTAGATCTAAATAAGGCATACAGAAGACAAAGGGAAGTCATTGAATGTAAAATAACAGAATGCTATATTTTATTAGTTCATGTTTTTCTATGTTAATAGAAAGTTGCAATGTTTTATTTAAGAAAGAGTGACTAGAAATGATGAATAATTTCTGAGTTAATCATATCTAGTGCTAAAGTCTATCACGATCAAGGGACCTAGAACTGCAGAGGGGTAGAACTTTAATCACATGACAAAATCTGAGGAGTGAGTCCAAAAGCCTAAATACGTGAAGTCACAGAAAAAAAGGCAAACTTTTTTGCTCAAAAGGCCAAGTTTCATTCTAAAGGCAGAATGTAGTTTCTAAAGTTACACATATACTTCCACTTTATAAAGCAAATCTTTGTAAAAAATGTTTGAAGGCAACTTACTTTTTCAAAGAATTCTATAATAAATAAAATGGAAACGATCACTGTTCCTCCAATTGTGTTTGGATTTTCCTATAATATCGCAGTCTCTTAAAGCAAGGGACAATTGCCTTTCACTTTGAGGCTGCAGTGACAGCTTATCTAATTGCTTCGTTTCATGTTTTTTGGGTGTCTGACAGTGGGGCATTTATGCCTCTGCGGTTTATCTTTTCCCGTGCACCTGTTTTGGTCTGGGTCCGTGGGTGTGCCTGTGTGCCCATCTGTGCTGTGGAGGGATCTGCCCCTTTGCCCATGCATCTGGATGTGTATCTTTGTGTGCATTTGTGTGTCTCTGCAGATGGGTATGGTGAAATGAGTTTCTGCAATCCATGAAATCATCTTCTGCCAATCCTTAAGTTTAGTAGGATCAATAACAGCTCAAGTACCTGGTCTCCAATGGTATATTGCTATTCAAAACCCAGCTGTTATGCAGATGAACTGAATCCTGTGTACTGGTCGGGGGAGCTGGAGCAGCTGGGCTGGGCTGGCTGCGGGTAGTCATTGATCTCCTCTGAAGAGAATCCGCTGCAGGGGGTGGCTTCCTGGCACAGGTGCAGGCATGCGGAGGCGGTGGTGGTGGCGGGAGGGGTCTGAAGGTGAACTGGTTGTGTGGGCTGCTCTGCACATCTAAAGAGGAGAGGAGAAAAACAAAATAGAGACTTACTCTCCCACTTGGCAGTCAGGAAAACACAGCATGACAAGCTTTTCAGGATTTCAGATAATATAACCTGTGGATGGGGGGACAGTTTTAAGTTCAGTCTACCTGCAAAAAATGTCACTTAACTTACAAAAGCACGTGCAGCATGCTTATGAAATGTAAAACATTCACAGTCGCATTTACATGTAAATTCTTCAGGGCTGTAGCAGCTAACAAGTAAATGAGGCCACCTCACACAATTTGTCATAGTTTCTGCTACTGAACAAATAAATCATCAACAAGACACTAAGTTACAGAACAGAAGTGAGCTCATTTCCATCAGTAGCAAAAATCTCACTTCAGAAAATACCAGTGAAAGGCACAAATTTGTTGTAAGGAAAAGCATTCAGCACTTCAAATAAAAATATAAGGCCACATTCTGGCTTACCTCAGGAAAGGATGCTTAGTCTGCCTACACAGGAGCAGATCCACTTTAGAAAAACAGCTCACATGTGTGTAACTCAACTGTGTGAACCTATCTCTTTGCCAGCCCCCCAACTCATAATGCTACTTGTAGAAGGTAGGCAAAAAGGAGTTTGTTCAGGTTGCTATACATATTTCCATTGCCAGGCAAAGCAGTCTGCACCCCTTCCCCCCTAGCCACACCTTTCTAGGAGCTCTGCCATGTTAGCAGCAGCTTAGGCAGCAGGGAAACTGTTTTTTTCTGCTTGTTTGCAGAGGGGGCAGCCTAGGACAGCGGTCCTCAGACTTCTGTTGTTGCTATTGTTTGGTATTTTTCCACTGTTTTCCTGGCAGGCACACATAAAGAGAGTGAGTTAGAATTTGGCCCATGAGAAATACCCCAATTAAACCCTTTTGAAAAGAAATCGCTAGTGTAGCTGATAGCCACCTCGCTTCCATAGGAGAAACATAATAGATGTCAAGTGATTTCTTGTAACACCAGCACGTTCTGGATAAACTTTGTAGACAGCATGGCTTTGTCCCACCTCCCAAATGACTGAGAGTTGAAAAGCAGAAAAATGCCAGAGGCTTTCGATGCCTAGCAAAGGGCTCAGCTGGTTTGTGCTGCGGCCCACTTTGCAGTGGCTGATCACAGAAAAAAATCACTTCTTTCAATCCTTCCACCTCAAACTTGAATTTTAAAGACTGTCATGTTTTTCATATTTAAAAACACTATTACTGTCCCAAGAGCACAGCAAATTCTTGGCTGTATTTTCTAGTACATGTGACTCTCCCTTTCAATAAACTTGTTATATGAAAATCTGAATTGTATAAAAGATAGCCACGGAAGGGAGTAGTGAACATTCATTTTATATAAAGAATTCATTTAGACGGTCAGCTCTCCTTGTATGATTAAAAGAAACTAAAATGCTTCATGAATTTTCTAAATCACCCCCACTAGGCCCAGCTCAAATCCCATACCCACTAAAAAAATCATCACAAGTACTTAACATCTCATTAATTTTTTTAAACTTCTGGGCTCATACTCATAACCATAACCAGAAATATGCATTCCATTCTAGGACTCAAGGAAGCATAGAGTGCTGAAACCCAAAAGACCATGGAAATCCTCTCATTCTGCAGATGAGAAAACCTGTCCAGGGACAGTTGGTAAGTTAGTGGCATGGCCAAGACTAGAACTCACATCTCCTGGCCCTCTGGCCAATACTCCACTCTCTGTATTGCAGATCTCTGTAATATGAGTTCTCTTTTCTTTCTTAAGATTTAGAGACACAGAATCTTCCATATTTTCTGGATTTTAACCTATGTTTATATGTATGCTTCGCTCCTAGACCATAACTCCTTAAATGTGGAAAGGAAGGCAGTGTGGAAAGAGTACAGGACTTGGAGGTATGGCAAACCTCGGTTTAAGTTCTGCCTCTGCCACTTAGATACTCTAATCTCTCATTTGTAAAATGGAGATCGTAATCCTTTTTTCTAACAAGTTTAATTCATGTAAAATGTGCTTTAACATAGTATGTCAGTGACTATTTGTTTATTGAATGTAGTAGAAGTATAAAACTTTAATTAAATCTGGAAAGAACCATAGGGATCATGTAGTTCAGCTCCCCCGCTGCCTTTTCCACTTGCCATTTTATTGATGAGAAACCTAAGGCCCAGAGAAGTGAAGTGAGTTGCTCAGTCATTCAAATTGTATGAGTTTGTCTACTTATGCCTGATGGTTCCCAGCCCGGTACTCTTTCCATGTTGCTTTTCTGGAAAATAAATATGACTCTCTTCTCCAAGTTTAACCCTTCCTGTTCTTACCATAAATTTGGCACCTGAATTTACAATATTACAACATTGCCTTGATGTCCTATGTGTTTTTTCTTATCTCTAAAAGTACGAAGGTACTTCTAAAAGTTCATAGAAAGATGTGTATTATCTTTTAATTCTATTATTCCAGGAACTTCATGAAGTACCCTTGTAGACTACATGTTTTTAAGAGCAAGGTTATCTTCCACTTCTCTCATATGCCACACAGCATTGAGCATGGTGCTGGGTACTGAGCATGACCGCTATGATCGCTAAAGCTCTCACTGACCGAAAAGGGTTTCACTGGTCCATGGGACCTAGAGAACCACCTCCAGTGTTCCTGTTGGCTCCCATTCTGATGTAGCTATTAGATATCTATTCAATTGTTCACAGAGAAGTAGGTTTCCCCCTTGGATGTCTCAGTGGAAACTCTCCAATAACCATGGGGAAGTACAATGATACTTTTGGAGCTCAGAAGGTGATACCCCAAAATATAACACTGTGGCGTGCTGAGTATGCTGAACTAAAGGAGACTGGAAAGCCTCCAAAGCAACCTCAGAAGCAAGTTCTCTCTGACCTCCTGCCCTCCTGCCTCTCACTCCTCTTTCTCCCCTGAAATGAGTCAGAATTCCTGTCCCCCAAGGCAGGTCATAGAAACTAGGATCTCTCTCCCTCAAAGCAAGCCATAAAACCTAGAAATATCATCCTAACCTGCCCCTGCCTTTCTGTGTAGGAGCTGACCACAGGGAAATTCTCTGACCTATCTTGTCTGATATTAGGTCATAAGACCCTCGTTCCAGAGAGGTCCTGCCCCATACCCTAGAGGAAGGAATGCTATACAGAGAGGCTACGAAGAATCTGAACAGGCAGGCCTTGTGGGGTTTCCCCCTCAGTCTATTACCATTAAATCATATCCTTTTGTCCAATCACATTTCTACATGGCTGTACATTCTTCATCCAATCTGAGCATAAAATGGGCAGTTTTCCAGGGATCTTTGGATCTTCCTTTCTGAAGGCTCCAAGTCACATAAACTTTGATTAAATAGATTCGTTACACTTTTCTTTTGTTAACCTGCCTTTTGCTAGAGGAGTGTTGACGGTAACCCTTATGATGGAAGAGGAAAGTGATCACACCTTTCTCCCTTAAAATATCCTGAAGAAGGTGCTTCAAATAATGCCCCTCCAAGATGTGAAAGAGCAGCAGTGACACACTACAGATTTGCCGTCTAAAGCCGTGTGTGGGACAGAACTTAATGACCGAAGGAAAGGGAAGCAGAGGATGGGAGTCCAGAATTAGAAGAAGAGGAATCAATTTTAGGTCTTGTGTTCAGAACACCTCCAAATGACATGTGTGACATCTACTAACCTAATCAGTAGGTGTTTCTGTCACCACAGCTGTTCAAAAGAAAATTTTACAGTTGTGAAAAAAAAAAATCATTCTATCATTGGAATTTACTGCTTGCTTGATTTCCTTGAAATCCTTGCAACTCTCTTATTGTTATGAAAAATGATAAAAATTTTACTTCATTGAAAAGTGCAATCATGTTATTCTTATAACATTTCTGCTGCAGGTAGAACTGCTTTGCATAGTCATTTTGAGTATATATGTGTATATGTATATATATACAGAGATATGTACATATATGCATGTTTTAATTTTTATCTATTTTACTGTGTATTTATAGTTCCACATTTCAAATATGTGGAGGCTTCTATACTAGTTAATACTGTCTTTAAACACTTCTACAATATGGGATTGTTGCACTGAGTGGAATACATCCAGACCTTAAGACCTTATGAAATGCAAATGATCTCAGATTTATTCTTTTTCTCACCTCAGGAAAAATATGGGAAAAGCACTTGTTCCCTCCCAAATGAAGTAATTTAATCCTTGGGCTCCATGAAATGGGATTTCTCAACATTAAACAATAATGAAAAATACATTAGTGTTCAGAGTCAGGAGCTCTAGAACACCATTTCCAGGGAGTTAAGAATCACATGCACTCACTTCCAAATGAATCTGGCAACTATACACTTCTGTGCCCAAGAAAGGTGTAAGGAGAGGGGAAGGAGTTGGACTGGTGATTATGCAAATGTGGATATCTAGACCTACTTATAAAGCTTTCTGAAAGTAAATTAAGTTTTCAGATGGAAAGGTCTAATTCACATAATGGACTTGGATAGGAGCCAGTTTCAGGTTTGAGGTCCTAAAATAACCTGGTAAAATAATCTCTCAGGGAAAAAATTCTTCCAAACTGTAGATCTAAGGCATTTTAGGTGTGGCAGAGCTGTTAATAGAAGTATAAGTCTTCAGAAACAGCATTGCCCTTGTCTCTAAAAGGTAAGTCGGAGGAGAAAGTTGTCATGCATAGTTTTTTCTTTTTTTCTCTTTTTGCAAATAAATCTTATTTTGGATCATGTGTTAGAGAAAGTTTTCACCAGAAATTATAATCTCTCAGCTTAGAAACACTGTATGGAAACTTATCTGGGTGTCTATGAGGGTGTTTTGCCCCTTATATTTCATTAACAAATACAGTCAATTCTGCTACAAGGTGATGCATGCATTTTTAAAATTCTCAGCAGTATGCAAAACTAAGCAAGGGAAAGGGTTTATGGAAAAAATGGGATTAGGGACACAACAGTCAAAAACATCATCGATGACACTTTTTTTAAAAAAAATGAACCTAGGGCCGGCCCGGTGGCACACTGCTAC